ACAGACACTACCAACCCTCCTGGCTGCTCAGAAGATCTCCCGGAACAAGGATAAAGATTAAGCCCAGCGCTGTCCTTTGAAAGCTGCCGACTGTTCCAGGTCTCGATCCCATTCACTCTTCACTGCTGAATGTATCATCCTGAGGAAACCTGAGTCCAGCCTGGAGACCAGCCCTCCTAGACCTAGGGGGAACCCTTCCCAGGCACTGACAGTCTCCTCAGCATTCCATCTTCCACCTGACTCCTCTGTCAGCCTGATTCTCCCATATTTATGAGTCAGTCTACCACTCTACCAGGGCCTCCAAACCTGGGATTGGCTGGACTCCCATAAACATGCAGATTAGGTCTCCACCCCTTCCTGCTTACCGACTTCTTGAAGGTTCTATGGTCCTCCAGAGTAAGGAGGAGGCGATACAGCCACAACCTGTTAGGTCATCCAGCTGACCTGCAATAACCCGACTTCAATCACAGACTCACACAATTACCACGAGTCATACACAATGATTTTACCTGCAATACACTACACCAAGTGCGTCAAACTGCTGGCCCTCCAGCTGTTGCGACACTACAAGTCCCATCATGCCTCTGCCTTTGGGAGTCATGCTTGTAACTGTCAATCTTGCAATGCCTCATGGGACTTGTAGTTTGGCAACAGCTGGAGGGCCGCCAGTCACCTGTGCACTGCACTATTCTAGTAGCACACAAGAGGGTGCTACATGTTAATAAAAAAAACCCTGTTGATCCTATCCAGGGGTGGGCTGACCATTCAGGCACTCGGGCACTGCCCGAGGGCCCGGGGTCAGTAGGCGGCCCCATGAGATGCCGCTGGTACCTTTCGTAGGCTTTTTTGGGTGTGCTTTGAGTGTGGGTGAGGACACAGGGGCCCCATGATCCCCTATTGCCCGGGGTCCATGAGTTGTCAGTCCACCCCTGATCCTATCAGAAATCTTGTGAGATAATATCTTCTTGTGCTGGGCTCTTATTGGTTACATTGCTTCTGCTCTCTCTGGAGACTAGAGACACCTTTCCGCCTATGTGATGGAAGTGAAGAGAGAGGCAGGTGTTCTGTAGTTCTAACATACACCTTGTCCTAGGGTGACAACAGTGCTCCTCTATATAGTACTGTGAATGAGCGTTGTCACTGTAGGACAGGAAGTATGTTACTGGCAGGATCACCAGGTGAAAATACAAAGGGAAAAAGAGCCTGAAAAACAAAAATGAATGCAGCCACCACATCTAAGCATTGATCATCAGCAATATATTACATTTTATGTTCTTGAGTTAAGTTACTGTATGTTTAAATTTAATATTCTGCTGATGCCAGTGATGACTTTTCCCTCGATGTTTTGATCCCACCACTTTCACACGTATTGTAGACCTGTCATAAACAGCAAAAAGCCTGCGCAATCCAGGAAAGTCATGGCTGGTGGGAGGAGCCATCAAGGTGCTGTAGAGTGGTCAGCACTGGCCCTGTGTGAGCTACGACTCCAATAGCTCATCACTGACCCTAGGTTCACATCTGCGCGGGTGGTGCTACGGCGGATCCGCACGAAAATCCGTGCACCCGCACCACCCGCACAGAGAAATGCGGACCCGCAGGTGGGTGCCATTTGTTCTACTGGCACGCCGCCTGCACTGAAAAACGCAACCGTGCTGGAAACCAAGGTTCCCGTGCGGGCTGCGTTTTCCGAAGAAGTGCACCGACTTCTCCCCTGCATGTCAAGGGGCACGTTCATTCAAAGGAATGGGCTCTCGTGCCAGCGCAGAAGGCGGCCTACACGGCCGCATAGATGTGAACCGGGGGGTTACACAAGGTTCTCCTTCCCTCCTGGCTGACCTCCAGCCTTCCCTTCAGTCTGGCACAGTTGTACAGAAACTGATTTCACTGCACACTGTGAGTTTTTCGCATTGTGCATTAGAAACATGCAGCAAATCAGATAGAGCATCATCTAGTCCTTTGTTCCCCAGCCTGACCAACCCTCGCCCTCCCCTTTCATTCATTGGATTTCATTTTTTTCCATCATGTAGGCTCAACCAGGGGCAGACTGACAACTCATGAGGCCCCCGGGCAATAGGGGATCATGGGGCCCCTGTGTCCTTGCCCAAACTCAAAAAACCCTATAAAAAAAAAGGTACCAGGGGCATCTCATGGGGCCCCCTACTAACCAAGGGGCCCTCGGGCAGTGCCCGAGTTTCCAAATGGTCAGTCCGCCCCTGGGCTCAACATCACATATAGAGATTCCCTAGGGGGCTCTGCGAACTTATTCACCCTGCCTAGGAACAGGCAATCTTCCTAACTCCCCCCAAGGGCCAGTTTGCTGCTTGCATAAGGGCTGAGGGCTCTTGGGAGGAGTACTGAGGAAAGGTGCTGTGATGTTTTTGGTAAATATGTACAGCACCGTGCTGGCCCCTCCCACCAGCCATGATCAACCTGCATCGCATAGACAAGTACAGAGCAGGGGTGGACTAACCATTTGGAAACTCAGGCACTGCCCGAGGGCCCGGGGTCAGTAGGGGGCCTCATGAGATGCCCCTGGTACCTTTTATATAGGCTTTTTTGAGTTTGGGCAAGGACACAGGGGCCCCGTGATCCCCTATTGCCCGGGGGCCCCATGAGTTGTCAGTCCGCCCCTGGTACAGAGACCTAGTAATGATACCACTCGGTCTAAAATAAGGTACGTATGTAATGAAAATGAAAGGGTTGTATCAGGGGTGGACTGACAACTCATAGGGCCCACGGGCAATAGGGGATCATGGGGCCCCTGTGTCCTCGCCCACACCCTAAAAAGCCTATGAAAAAGCCAATGAAAGGTACCAGCGGCATGTCATGGGGCCCCTTACTGACTCTCAGGCAGTGCCCGAGTGCTCAAATGGTCAGTCCCCCCCCCTGGGTTGTATTTAAAAGTGTTAATCATGTTGATTTGGGGAGAGGAACCAACAAAGGCCTAACAGAAGCAGATTAAACTTCAGCTTTAGGGGTACATTGGTTATTTCTGGACATTTTTGAGTGTTGTCCTAATTTTTACCTTGTGTATAATGGGAGGAGAGTAACCCCAGCTGGCATTTATAAAAACACATGAAAAGATATATTCGATCTCATCAACCAATCAGAATTCAAGGAATCGTTTAGAAAAAAAGAAATCCTATTGACTTCCACCTTTCCGGCCCTCCAGTCCCAGCAACGCTTTAACTAAATTCTTTTCTTCTATCTGACATTTCATTGAGGATGCAGAAATATTTTCTTACTTCATTTCATAGAACGGGAGAATTTCCTTGCTTTCCATGCCGGTGACACAAAGGAGAGCGGACCCCTGCCATACCCAGCCCAGAAGATGACCAATCAGGTGGGCTATGAGGACCTCCAGCAGACAGGATCTTTGGAAGAAGTTTGGGGGTCTCAGAAGAACTCCATCCAAGAGAGACGTGACCTGGACGAGCTGCTGACCACAGCCTGCTGTAGGACCGGCTGCAAGAAGAAGGACTTGAACTCACTCTGCTAGGCGGCCAGATGAAACTCCCATGTTAGGCTGGTAACAGGGCGTGTTCTCTGTCACATGTCACACCTGTATGACCACACCCACCTCAGTGCAGGTGCTGATGATTCTGTTTCATGAACGTGTTTGATGATGATTTGTAAAACTCCAGACCTCATTGTCATATCTCTGTACAGATAGCAATAAATATTATTATTTGCTGGGATTCATTTTCAGATTGATGAATTATGCATTGATGATACTTTCAGGTGTCACACTTTAAAGGGACCCTGTCGCCAGACCATTCATTAAAAAAAAAAAAAAAAAAAGTTCATATGACCAATCGTGTTGGCTTTAAAGTGTTACTAAACCCACATCAGTACAATCAGTCTGTATATGTAGTAAAGCATGCTTGTTATACTCACTGTGGAACCTAAGGGGTTAATCCTCTGCATTGTGTAAAAAGGCTGTTTGATCCTGTCTTCTCTGATCCTCCCCTCCTTATCACCTGATAAGACATATGTGCGAAGTCAATCTGCACATGCTCAACTTGGTGTGTATTGCTAGAGAGGTATTTTTTTCTTGGGAGAGGGCATGTGATCAGCACAGGGCCAATCAGCAATGTCCAGACAGAGGTCAGGGGTTCTGCATCCTCCTAGAGCAGAAAGAAAAATCCTCCTATATGCTTTAACCAGTGCTCTGCTGGCCACTGATAGAAGTCACAAGACTGCCATATACTGCTGATGAGAAAGGTATTTAGCAGTTTATATTTACTAAAATAATTGCATTTCCATGTTGTGTGTACTGTGGGAGACCGATATAGTGAATGCAGGGTCCGGAGAGACCAGATAGAGTGAATGCAGGGTCCGGGGAGAGCAGATATAGTGAATGCAGGGTCCGGGGAGACCAGACATAGTGAATGCAGGGTCCGGGGAGACCAGATAGAGTTAATGCAGGGTCCGGGGAGACCAGATAGAGTGAATGCAGGGTCCGGGAAGACCAGATATAGTGAATGCAGGGTCCGGGGAGACCAGATATAGTGAATGCAGGGCCGGGGAGACCGGATATAGTGAATGCAGGGTCCAGGCAGAGCGATATAGTGAATGCAGGGTCCGGGGAGAGCGGATATAGTGAATGCAGGGTCCTGGGAGACTAGATATAGTGAATGCAGGGTCCAGGCAGAGCGGATATAGTGATTGCAGGGTCCGGGGGAGCGGATATAGTGAATGCAGGGTCCTGGGAGACTAGATATAGTGAATGCAGGATCCAGGGAGAGCGGATATAGTGAATGCAGGGTCCGGGGAGAGCAGATATAGTGAATGCAGGGTCCGGGGAGACCAGATATAGTGAATGCAGGGTATGGGGGGACCGGATATAGTGAATGCAGGGTCCGAGGAGACCAGATATAGTGAATGCAGGGTCCGGGGAGACAAAATATAGTGAATGCAGGGTATGGGGGGACCGGATATAGTGAATGCAGGGTCCAGGGTGACCAGATATAGTGAATGCAGGGTCCGGGGAGACCGGATATAGTGAATGCAGGGTCCGGGGAGACCGGATATAGTGAATGCAGGGTCCGGGGAGACCGGATATAGTGAATGCAGGGTCCAGGGAGAGCAGATATAGTGAATGCAGGGTCCGGGGAGACCGGATATAGTGAATGCAGGGTCCGGGGAGACCGGATATAGTGAATACAGGATCCGGGGAGACCGGATATAGTGAATGCAGGGTCCAGGGAGAGCAGATATAGTGAATGCAGGGTCCGGGGAGACCAGATATAGTGAATGCAGGGTCCGGGGAGATCAGATATAGTGAATGCAGGGTCCTGGGAGACCGGATCTAGTGAATGCAGGGTCCAGGGAGACAAGATATAGTGAATGCAGGGTCCGGGGAGACCAGATATAGTGGATGCAGGGTCCCGGGAGACCGGATCTAGTGAATGCAGGGTCCGGGGAGATCAGATATAGTGAATGCAGGGTCCGGGGAGACCGGATATAGTGAATGCAGGGTCCGGGGAGACCGGATATAGTGAATGCGGGTCCGGGGAGACCGGATATAGTGAAGGCGGGGTCTGGGGAGACCGGATATAGTGAATGCAGGGTCCGGGGAGAGCAGATATAGTGAATGCGGGGTCCGGGTTTAGTAACACTTTAAATCATGTGACCAGAACTGGAGGTTGTCACATGATAGTATTTTGGCCTCTTTGGTTCTGGTCATCAGGAAATATTTCAGCCCTTCGATGACTACATATTCATACATCTAGTAGACCTAGCTTTAAGTGAATATCGGAGTTCAGGTCCTCTAGAATTACCAAGCAGCTGACGTATTGTGGACTCAATGTATAGACAGATAATATTTACTTGAGGTCAAAGTGAATATGACGGCAGACACATTATACACACTGTAGCAAACGTCCTGACCGCAGGAAATATTGACACAAGTATTAATGTAACTAGTAACAGATTATGGGTCTATCCTGCCGCTAGAAGCGGGGAATTCACTGGGGATCACTAAAACATTTCACATTACACAAACCAGCAACTGATGTGACTGAGGACAGAACAGTAGCAAACTGCTCTAGGATTGTATTACATGCATCTTGTTCATTCTGTGTCTATTTTCTCAAAACTATTCAGAAAAATTCATTAAATCCTAGAGATAATTAAAATCATGATTGTCAGGGGTTCCCATACACTCCCAATTTACTGCTGGCAATATGCTGATATCAATTTCGATCAAACTTTGTTAAAATATAACTAAAGCTAAAACTTTTCTTTTCATTTTGGATAGAGCAAGGAATGAAGAAACCCTGGTAAGGTGTTTTTTTTTCCCAACTGTGCCCCATTGGGGAGATTTTCCCTTTATATCCTGTTCAGTAGACAAACCTCTCCAAATGGAGGGGAATGCCCTTTAATTGTCACTGGAACAAGTGTCCCCATTGGAAGATTCCCCTTTTATTCCTGTTCTGGTGACAACTCAAAACTCCAGTTTTCTCCCTCACCTTCAGCCCTAGTGACAATGGTCACCAGGACAAATCAAGAGAGTATGGCCCTAATGGGGACACGGAAAAAGGACCAGGCAAGGGTTACTCACTTTACTGAAAACAAAAAAAACTGTTGGCTTCAGATATACTTTAAAGTGTTCCTAAACCCACAACAGTACAATCCGTCTGTAGATGCAGTAAAGCATGCTTGTTATACTCACTGTGGTACCTAAGGGGTTAATGCTCTGCATTGTGTAAAAAGGCTGTTCTATTCTGTCTTCTCTGATCCTCCCCTTCCTCTACTGTCCCCAATCCACCTGCTGATAGTACAGAGCTCTAGGAGTCACTCTGAACATGCTCAGTTTTGTATTGCTAGTTTTTTTTTTTTGGGATGGTGCATGTAACCAGCACAGGACATATCAGCGCTGTCCAGACAGAGGGTTGGGGGTTATGCAGCCTCATAGGACAGTCAGAGGAGAATGAAAACTCCTCCTACAAGATAAACCAGTGCTCAGCCCAACACTGATAGAAGTCATAATACTGCTATATACTGAGGTATTTTTTTTTCTTGGGAGAGGGCATGTGATCAGCACAGGGCCAATCAGCACAGAGGTCAGGGGCCATCCTCCTAATCAGCAATGTCCAGTGCTCTGCTGGCCACTGATAGAAGTCACAAGACTGCAGCTGGAGTATTTAGCTGCATCCTCCTAGTAGCAGAAAGAAAACTCCTCCTATAAGCTTAAAAATATAAAGGGGGGGGTGTGTTGTGTGTACTGTAGACCATAGTGAATGCAGGGTCTGGGGCAGGGTCTGGGAGAACAGATATAGTGAATGCAGGGTCCGGGAGAGCGGACATAGCTGCAGGGTCCAGGGAGACAGGATATAGTGCTGGCCACTGTGAATAGAAGTCACAAGACTGCCATATAGGCTGACAGGATGAGAAGGGTCCGGGGAGAGGTATTTAGTGAATGTTTATATTTACTAAAATAATAGCCGTGGATGTTAGTGAATGGGTACTGTATATAGTGGATGCATGGTCCGGGGAGACCAGACATAGTGAATGCAGGGTCTGGGGAGACCAGATATAGTGAATGCAGGGTCTGGGAGAGACCAGATATAGTGAATGCAGGGTCCGGGGAGAGCGGACATAGTGAATGCAGGGTCCAGGGAGACAGGATATAGTGAATATAGCAGGGTCCGGGGAGAGCGGATATAGTGAATGCAGGGTCCGGGAGACCAGATATAGTGAATGCAGGGTCCGGGAGATAGTGGATCTATAATGAATGCAGGGTCCGGGAGAACGGATATAGTGAATGCAGGGTCCGGGGAGGACCAGATATAGTGAATGCAGGGTCGGGGAGAGCGGATATAATGAATGCAGGGTCCGTGGAGACCCGATATAGTGAATGCAGGGTCCAGGGAGACCAGATCTAGTGGAATGCATGGTCCGGGGGAGACCAGTATATAGTGAATGCAGGGTGCGGATATAATGGGTCCGGGGAGACCGGATATAGTGAATGCAGGGTCCGGGGAGACCGGATATAGTGAATGCAGGGTCCGGGTCCTGATATATGAATGCAGGGTCCTGGGAGATCGGATCTAGACCAGATATAGTGAATGCAGGGTCCGGGGAGAACCAGGATATAGTGAATGCAGGGTCCCAGGGAGAACCAGATATAGTGAATGCAGGGTCCGGGGAGACCGGATATAGTGAATGCAGGGTCTGGAGACCGAGACCAGAGACCGGGGAGAGCGGATATAGTGATATAGTAATGCAGGGTCAGGGTCCAGGGAGACCGGATATAGTGAATACAGGGTCTGGGGGATTTAGTAACACTTTTGAAACTGGAGAGACCATATGTGAATGCAGGGTCTGGGGAGACCGTTATATAGTGAATGCAGGGTCCGGGGAGACCGTATATAGTGAATGCAGGGTCCGGGGAGACCAGATATAGTGAATGCAGGGTCCGGGAGACCGGATATAGTGAATGCAGGGTCCGGGGAGACCGGTATAGTGAATACAGGGTCTGGGGTTTAGTAACACTTTAAAACTCCATATGTGAACCTCTTTTCATGAAAACAAGCAATAAAGACACAGAAACTTTTTTAATTCAAAAAATTATTTTTTTTTACTGCTGCTTGTTCCAAATATTCACAAAATAAATATATTTGTAATAAAAATAAAAAAAAGATGTAAACCAACCAATATGAGCAAAGAGAATAATCTCTACAAATATCATCTGGTTTTCACTGTTAAATTTCACCACAATCTAGTTTACAGGCAGGAAAAGGGTTCGATCGATCATGGGACTATAGGCCCTAGCATGCACTGTGGTGATCAGGTTGGCAATCCCCTTCTGCCTACTCATAGTACACGGCATAGACATTAGCCAGAGCAAACAAGGAGCTGTTCTTAAAGGTGTAGGAGGAAAAGGTGTCGTTAGCTGGGTCCCATATACACCGGCTGCCAACCCGCATGCCCTGATCGTTCAGCTGTCCGATGTAGATGAGGACGATTGTTTTATATCGCGGGATCATCAAGTCCTTTACTCTGGCTTTAACTACCTGGAAATCAAAACATTAGAGCGTCTATAAAATGGTGGAAAGGAAAGACAGAACACATTAAAAGAACACTCCAATTTCCAGAATCCCACTCCTGCATTTTCCATTTCCAAGCTGCATCAGCCCAATCTGAATGGTTCACATCTATCATGATTTCCTCTATCTAAGATGGAAGCACCACACCACAAATGAATAGTCCAGATACAACTTTATTCCCATGACATGGTCAGGTAGAAGAACAAAAGAAGAACCCAACGCGTTTCAGGGGTCCAACCTCCCCCCCATTATCAGAGATAAGAAAACATAACAAAGGAAAATCTAAAACACAAAGGTTTCTCATCAGACTTGCATAAAATCACAATTGGTTTATATAGAACATTCCATATATTATAACACGGATCAAAAAAAGAAAAATATGATAAAAGAGATCATTTAAAAAATGAAGTTTTTTTTTAATCTTTTTGTTATCATGGTTTACCCTTTTTAATAGTAGTTTTTATACCAATCAATCAATTGTTCTTTATAAAATCACAATCAGCATATAAATAACAATCAGCATATAAATAACAATCAGCATATAAATAACCTTCAGTATATAAAAAAAACTACTATTAATAAAAAGGTAAAAAACATGAGAAGCAATACATTTGATTTGATTTGGATACTCCTTTGTTTCTCATGCACTTTAGCAAGAATTGTTGGGTTGCCATTAACAATTAATGGCAACACATGTGCATAAAAAGATGCATGTCTTTGTGAACTATAGGAACCCACACAATTTTGCTTGCGTTCCTGCATAGCACAAGTTATATATTTACATAGTTAGTCTAGCTGAAAAAAAGACAAAAGTACAGCCAGTTCAACAACAAAAATTTTTTTTATAATCCTAAACGCACAGTTGATCCAGAGGAAGGCAAAAAAAACAGCAAAGCATGATCCAATTTGCTCCTGCAGGGAAAACATTCCTTCCTGATCCCCCGAGAGGCAATCGGATATTCCCTGGATCAACTTTACCTATAAATGTTATATCCAGTTATATTCTGTGTATCCAAGAAAGAATCCAGGACTTTCCTACAGCAATCCACCGAGCTGACCAGAACCAATTTACATATCCCCCCTTATGTATTATACATGGAGATCATATCCCCCTTATGTATTATACATGGAGATCATATCCCCCTTATGTATTATACATGGAGATCATTATCCTCCCTTATGTATTATACATGGAGATCATACCCCCCTTATGTATTATACATGGAGATCATATCCCCCCTTATGTATATTATCCCCCTTATGTAATTATACATGGAGATCATATCCCCCCTTATGTATTATACATGGAGATCATATCCCCCTTATGTATTATACATGGAGATCATATCCCCCCTTATGTATTATACATGGAGATCATATCCCCCTTATGTATTATACATGGAGATCATATCCCCCCTTATGTATTATACATGTATATCCCCCTTATGTATTATACATGGAGATCATATCCCCCCTTATGTATTATACATGGAGATCATATCCCCCCTTATGTATTATACATGGAGATCATATCCCCCTTATGTATTATACATGGAGATCATATCCCCCCCTTATGTATTATACATGGAGATCATATCCCCCCTTATGTATTATACATGGAGATCATATCCCCCTTATGTATTATACATGGAGATCATATCCCCCTTATGTATTATACATGGTGATCATATCCCCCTTATGTATTATACATGGTGATCATATCCCCCTTATGTATTATACATGGAGATCATATCCCCTTATGTATTATACATGGAGATCATATCCCCCCTTATGTATTATACATGGAGATCATATCCCCCCTTATGTATTATACATGGAGATCATATCCCCCCTTATGTATTATACATGGAGATCATATCCCCCCTTATGTATTATATGGAGATCATATCCCCCTTATGTCATTTCCCCCCCTTATACTTATATGGAGATCATATCCCCCCTTATGTATTATACATGGAGATCATATCCCCCCCTTATGTATTATATGGAGATCATATCCCCCCCCCTTATGTATTATACATGGTGATCATATCCCCCCCTTATGTATTATACATGGAGATCATATCCCCCCTTATGTATTATTATGGAGTGATCATATCCCCCCCCTTATGTATTATACATGGAGATCATAATCCCCCCTTATGTATATACATGGAGATCATATCCCCCCCTTATGTATTATACATGGAGATCATATCCCCCCCTTATGTATTATACATTGAGATCATATCCCCCCCTTATGTATTATACATGGAGATCATATCCCCCCTTATGTATTATACATGGAGATTATTTCCCCCCTTAATCTCCTCTTCTCAGTAGAGAATAAATTCATTTCCTCTAATCTTTCCTCATAGCTGATCTCCTCCATGCGTCTTATCAGTCTGGTTGCCCTTCTCTGTACTTTCTCCAGTTCCCCAATGTTCTTTTTGTGAATTGGTGCCCAAAACTGAACTGCATATTCCAGATGAGGTATTACTAATGATTTGTACCGGGGGGGGGGGGGGGGGGAATGATATCTCTATCTCTGCAGTCTATACCTCTTTTAAAAAACAAGAGAGGATTTTGCTCGCTTTGGATCCCGCAGCTTGGCATTGCATGTCTTTATTAACCTTGTGATCTACCAGAACCCCCAGATCCTTCTCCATCATTGGTTCCCCCAGATGTACCCCCCCTAGTATGTATGATGCATGCATATTCTTAGCCCCCAAGTGCAGAACCTTACATTTATCAACATTAAACCTAATTTTCCACATAGTCTCCCAATTACACAGAGCATTGAGGTCGGCTTGTAAATTGGAGACCAGGAGCTGACTGACAACTCATGGGGCCCCCGGGCAATAGGGGATCATGGGGCCCCTGTGTCCTTGCCCAAACTCAAAAAAGCCTATGAAAAAGGTACCAGGGGCATCTCATGGGGCCCCCTACTGACCACGGGCCCTCAGGCAGTGCCCGAGTTTCTAAATGGTCAGTCCGCTCCTGTTGGATACATCCTGTAAAGGACGTTATTCCACGGCACAGCTTGGTGTCATCTGCAAAGACTGAAATGGGATTATTAATCACAGACCCGATATTGTTTATGTTTAAGTGTGAACAGAACTTTGGTGTGTCCCAGTTTGGCTCTTTCTCCCCTAAGAGATTCATGAATAAATGATTGGAGATCTATTGGTTTCCCATCACTGCGAGTCTCACCTCTGAAATGGTCTTTGTCATTTGTCTACATAACTCGGCTTCATACTTCTCCTCCTGAAGATAACTGGTCAGGACGTCCTTCAGAATATTGTTCACTGTGGCTACAGGAAAGCGTCTCGTGGGGCCTACAACAGAGAAACAGATTTTATCAAGAGGCCTTGTAACTAACTTCACAAAATTGCAGATAAGAGTACAGAAAGATCTCATATTTGAAATAATTAATTGCAGCATTTCTCCTTTCGATACCATTTTATATTCACTAGTAATGTTGCTCTGACCTCTGAAAATCTGCCTCCTCCTGAAAGAATCAGTTCCCTTGCACAGCCCCCTCCCATCTTGCACATCATAGCCCTTTCCATCTAATTATTGTCTGTGCTGACCCAGCTCCTCTGCCTGTCCCTTCATCATCCTACATAACCTTTTATGTGGCTGCCGGCTGAGCAGTGAAGAGGAATACATAACCTGCAGGGACTTCGTCACTGCTCAAACTCCCTCCAACCCTGTTCCCCCTCACTCAGCTACCCCCTCATCACCCCTCTCCCACGGCCCCACCCCTGCTCTGACCTCCACTTCCACCCCACCCTTCATTCCTCATACTGAAGCCCCTCCAACACTTCACACCTTTGACCTTACTACCATCGAGGAAGTCTCCAAGATCCTCTCTGATGCCCGCCTCACCACCTGCCCCCTCGACCCTATCCCCTCACAACTCCTACGACCTCCCTCCCCCTCCATCCTATGCTCCCTCACCCACATCTTTAATCTCTCCCTCTCCTCCAGCTCTTTCCCCTCCCCTCTGAAACATGCACACATCACCCCCATACTTAAAAAGCCCTCCCTGGACCCCAATGACCCAAACAACCTCAGACCCATCTCCCTGCTCCCATTTACATCCAAACTCCTCGAGCGCCTAGTCTACACCCGCCTATGCTCTCACCTCAACGACAACAACCTCCTCGATCCCCTACAGTCCGGCTTCCGTCCCCTACACTCCACCGAAACTGCCTTACTCAAACTCTCCAACGACCTGCTAACTGCCAAAGCTAATGGCCATTATTCAGTGCTCCTACTCCTTGACCTCTCTGCGGCCTTCGACACAGTCGACCCACCCCCTCCTCCTCAAAAAACTACACTCCCTCGGCCTCAGAGATTCTGCTCTCTCCTGGCTCTCATCCTACCTGTCACAACGCTCTTTCAGCATTACCTATAATGCTACCACCTCCCCCTCACTCCCCCTCTCTGTTGGGGTCCCTCAAGGCTCTGTCCTCGGACCCCTTCTCTTCTCCATCTACACTTCCTCCCTTGGCCAACTCATACACTCTCACGGCTTCAACTACCACCTGTATGCCGACGACACACAAATCTATCTCTCAACCCCCCACCTCACCCCCTCGTCTCTGCCCGAATCACACACCTACTGAGCGAAATTTCTGACTGAATGTCGCTCCACTTCCTTAAACTGAACCTCGAGTTTCCTTAAACTGAACCTGAAGACCGAGTTTCTTGACTTCCCCCCAGCCCGGACACCACCCCCCATTGACTTCTCCATCACATCCAACAACGCCACCATCAAACCCGCCCCGCAGGCCAGAGTACTGGTGTCATTCTGGACTCCAACCTATCCTTCCAGCCCCAAGTCCAATCTTTAACAAACTTGTGCAGACTCCACCTCCGCAACATCGGCAAAATCCGCACGTTCCTAACTCCAGAAACTACTAAGCAACTCATCCACTCCCTCATCATATCACGACTCAACTACTGCAACTCCCTCCTCACTGGCCTGCCTCGCCACAGGCTATCCCTGCTTCAGTCCATCCTGAATACGGCTGCCAGACTCATTCACCTTTCCAACCGCTCCATCTCCGCCACCCCCCTCTGCCAATCCCTCCACTGGCTTCCGATTGCGCAACGGATAAAATTCAAAATCCTAACACTGATGTACAAAGCTGTCCACCATACTTCCCCGAACTACATCACCGACCTAATATCCAAGTACCACCCAACACGCACACTCCGCTCCTCACAAGACCTCCTTCTCTCTAGTTCCCTGGTCTCCTCCTCCCATGCCCGCCTCCAGGACTTCTCCAGGATGTCACCCATCCTCTGGAACTCCCTGCCCCAACCCATCAGATTATCACCTACTCCTCTCCTTTAGGCGCACCCTGAAAACCCATCTCTTCAGGGAAGCCTACCCCACCCCCTGCTAACTTGCCGACCTCCTCCACTCTTCCTACCACTCCATCCCCCACAGCTATCTCCTCCAGTGCCACCATCCCCTCCCTCCTAGATTGTAAGCTCGAAAGAGCAGGGCCCTCGATCCCCTCATGTTTTGCATTGTATTGGTATTGTTCTGTCACATGTTCTGTCCCCCTTTGTAATGTACAGTGCTGAACGAACTATTGGCGCTTTATAAATACTTATATAACAAGTGCAGCGCTCGTCGTTAATAAAGTGAATGGATGGAACACAGTGTCATAAATCAAATATATAAAACTTATAATAAATGATATAAAATAGTCCCATAAATATAAATAAATCAGGATAGTGAAACAGGATAATGGAAGGTGACTTCGTTGTCCGGGTAGTATTGGAAATGAAATGCGCACTCACCGGACGCGCATATTAAATGCGCCTTGTATGTAACAATCCTGATCCTGGGTGGTAGGAGGTCCTCCTTAAGTCAGAACCCAAATGAGCTGTCCTTCTCACTTCTCACTTAGAAATGCCTGTGTGGTCCTGGTGGGTGCTGTCACTCCCAAGGGGCTGGATGGTAAGTGGTGATCCGCCTTAGTAATGGACCTGTAGGCTAGAGTACTCCCCCAGGGGACAACAAGGATACCTCCATAGTGTAGTAGATTTAAATTTTATTCATATGAAAGGTGCATCACATAAAAGAGTGCAAAAACTGTTGCAGACAACTGTCTGTAGGGGGACTGACCAGCTGGTGATATGTAATGGCCGCCGGAGCTCCACGATGCTCCGAGGAGCCACACCACGCCGTGACGTCACGCCGCTGGAGCATCGTGGAGCTCCGGCGGCCATTACATATCACCAGCTGGTCAGTTCCCCTACAGACAGTTGTCTGCAACAGTTTTTGCACTCTTTTTATGTGATGCACCTTTCATATGAATAAAATTTAAATCTACTACACTATGGAGGTATCCTTGTTGTCCCCTGGGGGAGTACTCTAGCCTACAGGTCCATTACTAAGGCGGATCACCACTTACCATCCAGCCCCTTGGGAGTGACAGCACCCACCAGGACCACACAGGCATTTCTAAGTGAGAAGTGAGAAGGACAGCTCATTTGGGTTCTGACTTAAGGAGGACCTCCTACCACCCAGGATCAGGATTGTTACATACAAGGCGCATTTAATATGCGCGTCCGGTGAGTGCGCATTTCATTTCCAATACTACCCGGACAACGAAGTCACCTTCCATTATCCTGTTTCACTATCCTGATTTATTTATATTTATGGGACTATTTTATATCATTTATTATAAGTTTTATATATTTGATTTATGACACTGTGTTCCATCCATTCACTTTATTAACGACGAGCGCTGCACTTGTTATATATATTGTTCCCTTCTTAGGTTATTGGTACCTAATTTTGTGCATAGCAGCTTGTTCATTTTCACTAAGGCGCTTTTTACTCTCTTTATATGCTTTATAAATACTGTATAATAATAATAATAGTGTCCCTTGAGTGACAGTTCTTAGTCTGCTGGGGTTGCTGATATCTCATCCAAGGTGGCGCCACCCAGACATTCTGGGTTCATCTGGGTGGACTGACCCTTTAAATTCATTTTTAATGCAGATCAATACAGAATTCATACCTAACTGATATGTATTTTCCATCTGCACAGGCTGGACGGTGTATGTCATCATGTGTGTCCCGGTTCATCGATATAAGACACTGTGCTCATAGAGCTACAATAAAACACAATCAAAAAATAATTATTCATACAGCCAGTGCCGGGACAAGGTCATCTAGAGCCCAGAGCGAACATGCCAAATTGCACTCGCCCCCCCCCCCCCCAAAGATGTATGAGCATTATGTTGTTGTAGCAACACATCCCCCCCCCGGAAAAGAAAAAAAAATTGAGCACTTATCTGCATGCTTCTCCCTTCCCATATACCCCCAGTAAAAATCTTCCCCCCAAAAAATTTCCACCTCCTAGTACATCCTCTACCCTTCAAATTTCCTCTTTGAGTACAAATCCTCCCCCCCATTCTATATCCCCGCTCCCAGCACACATTCCCTCCCCCCAAACAAAAAATCCCCTCCTAATACAAATCCCTTCTTCCCTCTACCATATCACCTTTTCAAGCACAATCCCCAAATCCCTACCCCGCCACAAATCCTCTTCCCCCTCCCAACACTTACCCCCAGCCACCTCCCAAATTCCTCCTCCCAACACAATTGCTTCCCCTCCAATCTCATTGTGGTGCCCCCCCCCCCCCCCCCCGCCTCACATGAAACCACAGTGCCCAGGGCAGCTGTCCCTCCTGCCCATCCCTGCATACAGCCAGCTACAATGTATTGTACAATCGGTTACGTTCCATCAGGATTCCCTAAAGCTGACCTTCAGACTTCCCCTTAGTTAAGATGCCGGTGCTGGGGACCCAAATACTGGTGAAGAATCGGCTCCGGTGAGGACAGCTCTGGATCCCTTGACAGGTAGGTGTACTTTTATTAAAAGTCAACAGCCATAGTATTTGTAGTTGGTGACTTATATTTTTTGGGGGAAAACTGAAGCTCCTCCTCATGTAATGCAGACAATGTCCTTGGAATCCAGACCTGTTGGGGAAGGGGGGGGGTCTAGGGGTCACTAATAGCAATTGTGGGTGCATCCCAAAGATATGTGCCTGGGCACCCATATGACCTAACTTGGCCCCTTGCCTGAAAAGCCCGGCCCTTTCCAACCATCTTTGGTCCTGAAATTGGGAGTGACGCCTAATACAGAGAGAAGGTTTGTCTGCTCACTCTCTGGATTCTCTGGGCTTGTTCAGGTTGTCTCTGGGTTTCACTTCATGGCTGCCCAGTGATGAAACGCTTCCTCTCTTCTTCAGCAGGCGGGCAGCCTTGTCCTTGGCGGCGTCTGACATCTCTGTGAAAAAAAGCAGCGACATCTCTCAGATCCCAAAATGGATCAAGCGGATCTGACCTAGAATGTATCTAAAGCCAACACTGTGGAAGGATTAGAACCCTTGCTAGGCTTTTACTGCTGCCCATGTCTCCACAAGGGAGATTCACCCTCTCTACATGTCCTGGTAACAACGAGGACCTATTCATGTAAGTGGTTTACTGTGGTACATTCATTCACATGCGTTAATGTGCGTTATGGTGCGTGTCAATGTGTGATGCATTAGGACAGCCCTTTCATTATGTATGTACCACAATGGATAAAATAAATGTGCGTGGCTTTTGTTACTGTGGCATAATATAACGAACGGTATATCCATTATGGTGGGCTGTGTATGACATTCTATAGATAATGTGTCAGGGTGTCATTTATAACAGGAGATGGTCAGAGACTGCAAACATGAAACAGGACATGGTCAGTGACTGAAGACAAATTATTATTATACAGGATTTATATCGCGCCAACAGTTTGCTCAGCACTTTACAAAATGAAGGCAGGCATGACATTTACAATACAATTTGGTACAAGAGGAAACAGAGGGCCCAGCGCGTTAGAGCTTACAATCTAGGAGACAAATAACAGGAGATGGTCAGAGACTGCAGACATAAAAAAGGAGACTGTCAGACACCGTAGACATAAAAAAAAAGGAGATTGTCAGAGACTGTAGACATAAAAAAAAGGAGATTGTCAGAGACTGCAGACATGCTACATAAGATGGTCAGAGACTGCAGACATAAAAAAAAGGAGATTGTCAGAGACCGTAGACATAAAAAAAAGGAGATTGTCAGAGACCGTAGACATAAAAAAAAAAGGAGATTGTCAGAGACAGCAGACATATAAAAAAAAAGGAGATGGTCAGAGACTGCAGACATGCTATAGGAGAAGGTCAGAGACTGCAGACATATAACAGGAGATGGTCAGAGACGGCAGACATGCTACATAAGATGGTCAGAGACTGCAGACATGCTACATAAGATGGTCAGAGACTGCAGACATGCTATAGGAGAAGGTCAGAGACTGCAGACATATAACAGGAGATGGTCAGAGACTGCAGACATATAACAGGAGATGGTCAGAAACGGCAGACATGCTACATAAGATGGTCAGAGACTGCAGACATGCTACATAAGATGGTCAGAGACTGCAGACATGCATACATAAGATGGTCAGAGACTGCAGACAAGATACAGGATATGGTCAGAGACTGCAGACATGCTACAGGATATGGTCAGAGACTGCAGACATGCTACAGGAGGTGGTCAGAGGCTGCAGACATGCTACAGGAGGTGGTCAGAGGCTGCAGACATATAACAGGAGATGGTCAGAGATTGCAGACATATAACAGGAGATGGTCAGAGATTGCAGACATATAACAGGAGATGGTCAGAGATTGCAGACATATATAACATATAACAGGAGATGGTCAGAGACTGCAGACATATAAAACAGGAGATGGTCAGGGACTGCAGGCATGCTATAGGAGATGGTCAGAGAGACTACAAACATATATACAGGACATGGTCAGAGACTGCAGGCATGCTAGAGATGCAACAGGAGAGATGGACAGAGACTACAGACATGTTATACACAGACATGGTGTTTAGAGACTAGGCACGTGCTTCAGAAAACAGAGATATAGACTGAAGACACATTACGTGAGATTGCTAGAGGTAACTGCTATTTAAGGGCAATAGTGAAACACAGAGTAATGTCTGCTGGGGCCACAAAGAAATAAATGCCCTCGGGCCGCAGGTTGGGCTCAAGGCTCGTAGAAGACATAAATGTTCAATGCTGTAGTCCCCTATAACTATTTCTTTCTCTTACCATCTTTGCACTAAAATGCAATTTTCATCTTTTTCAACCTTTGTGGCATCTCAGTGCTGCTGATCCCCTGCAGCCTCTTTGCAGCCACTCCTATTGGTGGAGCACGGTGTCATTTTTCTGGGGCTCTCCCATTGGTCTCTATAGTGCTCATAGTTGTGCCTCATACTCATACTAGCAATGGGTCACATTCCACACAGACTCATAGAACAGTCATTGACAGTCAAGGAAGCGTGGATTGTCATTGTGTCTGCTCACCCTGGGGCAATGTGACACCACGGCAGCCCGTCTCCTGGATACCCTCCACCCGCCACAAACACACTGGCACCAGCAACTGATCCTCTGCCTTTATCCCTTCAATGTCAGCCCCCCCCTCTCCTGCAGATGGATGGCCCGTGTGACCGCCGGTGTCAGAACATCTGACTTACACTTGAAGTGTTCAAAAGTTCCGGTCACTGTGATCACACACATGGAGGCAGAACGTTCACATAATAAAAAGGAAACATCGCCTCCTCTCTGGTCTTCTCTATATAAACAAGGTCACCGGTATAAATGATTGGAGTTTTATTTCCCTGCTCCCAGGTGTATGCAACCCTGAAAATGATATTACAGAGAAGTACCGATGGACTCCAGAGTTTTATCCTAGAAATACAGTTGCAAGAAAAAGTATGTGAACCCTTGGGATTCCGTGGAGTTTTGCATGAATTGGGCATAAAATGTGCTCTGAACGTCATCTAAGTCACAACAATAGAAGAACACAGTCTGCTGAACATAATACTACACAAACATTAGATGTTGCCATGGTTTAATTGCACATAACATGTAAACATTCACAGTGCAGGGAGGAAAAAGTATGTGAGGCCCTAGCTTAATGACTTCTCCCAGAGCTAATTGGAGCCAGGAGTGAGCCAACCTTGACTCCAATCAGTGTGATGATATTGGATGTGTTGCTGACAGCTGTCCTGCCCTTAAAAAACACACACCTGTTTTGGGTTTACTGGTTTCAAGAAGCACTGTCTGATGTGAACCATGCCTCACAAAAAAGAGCTCTCAGAAGACGCACGATCAAGAATTGTTGACTTGCACGAAGCTGGAAAGGGTTACAAAAGTATCTCCAAAAGCCTTGATGTTCATGTGTCCACGGTAAGACAGACTGTCTACAAATGGAGAAAGTTTAGCACTGTTGCTACTCTCCGTAGGCGTGGTCGTCCGTAAAAATGACTGCAAGAGCACAGCGCAGAATGCTGCATGAGGTAAAGAAGAATCCCAGAGTGTCAGCTAAAGACCTACAGAAATCTCTGGCACATTCTAACATTTTTGTTGACACATCTACAATAAGGAAAACATTAAACAAGAATGGAGTACATGGGAGGACACCACGGAGGAAGCCATTGCTGTCCAAAAAGAATATTGCAGCATGTTTGAAGTTTGCAAAAGAGCACCTGGATGTTCCACAGCACTACTGGCAAAATATACTGTGGACAGATGAAACCAAGATCCACTATGTGTGGAGAAAAAAAGGCACAGCACACCAACATCAAAACCTCATCCCCACTGTGAAACATGGCGGAGGGAGCATCATGGCTTGGGGCTGCTTTGCTGCCTCAGGGCCTGGACAGATTGTTGTCATTGATGGGAAAGTGAATTCCAGAGTTTATCAAGACATTTTGCAGGAAAACGTACGACCATCTGTCTGCCAACTGAAGCTCCGCAGAGGATGGGTGATGCAACAGGACAATGACCCAAAGCATACAAGTAATTCAACAAAACAATGGCTGCAACAGCACAGAATACGCCTTCTGGAGTGGCCCAGTCAGAGTCCTGACCTCAACCCGATTGAAATGCTGTGGCATGACCTTAAGAGAGCAATTCACACCAGACATCCCAAGAATATTGCTACACTGAAACAGTTTTGTGAAG